ACAGAGAAAGAAGAAAAAGGGAAAGACAAAAATACTTATAATAAATAAAAACAAAAAAAGAAATAAATGGAAAACAAGGAGTAGAAAAAAAAAATTAATGAATATATCGGGATCGTTGAGCGTCATTGAGGTTATCATCGTTATCGCGTTAGCGAGTCATTACGCACCTACCGAATATGTTTCACAGGCCGAACGAGAGAAGCACGGAACCACGGAAAACGAGAACTTACGAAGGTTATCTCCTTTATAACCAGTTACAAGCCGGTCGGATGCTAAACGGGCAAAAGGAAAAGCGAAAGATTGCATTTTTACGCGTCGCCGGTTAACACGAAAGAAAGCAATGAATTTCTTCTTATCTTCGGGGCCTTAAACCTTAAAATCGTACGAGCTATATCTCGATCCTTTACAAATCTGCCGAATAAAAACCTTAAAAAAAGAAGAAGAAGAAGAATAAAAAAAAATAAAAAAAATAAAAAGAGAAAACAAAAAGAATACGTGTGTCGGATAAAATATACATCCTCCGCGTAGGACGTAAAATAATCGGCGTGAAAATCGGGTTGTAAATACGTAAGTATTATAAGTATAATAAAATACGAAGAGAATAAACAAACAAACTAATCAAACAAACGAGCGAGAAAAAAAAATCAACAGATTACGTCGTCATTAAATTTCTTTAGGTCTCATTCTCATGTCTTTTTTTCCCCTCTTTTAAATGAAATAATTAAATTATCAAGCAATAAAGATTTTTTTTTTTTACTTACAAACGTGTCGTAATATTACGAAATAAACCTGAACTGTCTGAGACATCAAAAAGATCTTTACAAGCTGATATAATCAATAAAAGTTTGGAAAGAAAAATAAAACTTAAAGTAAAATACTTCGTCAGGGTTGCATTATACGTGTGTTACTTTGTATTAAATATTGATCACTCTCACAAACATCTTTCGAAGAACTCGTTAAAGGAAGAATAAATAATATTCTCGTATAAATCGGTTTCGAATGTGTTTACAAATAAAATAAATCTAAAAAATAAAATTATCTATTAAAAAAAGAATAATAAGATGAAAAAAAAACTACCAGTCACCATTTCTAGGAGTAATTTGCGAAACATCGATCTACTATCTTTTCTACGTGGACACTCGGTAACCAAGAGTATACTTACTCGTTGAGTACTAGTTATGATGAATGAAGGAGTAAGAAGAGTGGTAGGAAAGAAGGCAGAACGTTCCGTAGGGCAGAGGTGTCGTTAAATCCTCCTCGCACTCTTATATCTCCTTCTTAGTCTATCTCACTCACTCAATCTCTCTTTCTCTTTCTGTCTCTTTCTATCTTTCAAAGGAAGTAACAGTATCTGAAAGTGGATGGATTCCGTGCGAGGTGTGCGAGATGTGCAGGGACCATGTGGATTGTGTGTAGAATGAACGCAAACTGTGAGGGTAATTTGCAACACTGGCAATTTACATAATTAGCAGTTCTGAACTGCAGGCCCTTGGACGACCCCCACCCCCAAGATATTTCCACTTTCTCTCTCTCTCTCTCTCTCTCTCTCTCTCTCTCTCTCTCTTTCGTTCACGTTCGTTTTCTTTATCTTTCTCCCTCATTCCAACTTCCTCGCCATACCACACTTACCTTCTTCAAAGCCCAATGCAAGTGGTGGATGAGAGCAACCAAGAAACCCAACAACAACAACAACAACAACCAAGCGTGCTCCCGAACGAAAAACAGTGGCGTAGAAATTCATAACTGTCGACTTTCATTTTCTCTCTCTCTCTCCCTCTCTCGTTAAAATATTATATATTTTTTGTTTCAAATGTTTTATCTCTATATACTCGTTTATACATTGTAGATAAACAGTTAAAAACATTATCAACGCTATTACTCTATCCAAATGACAATTATTTATCTAACATGATAATATAATTAATGATTTGCCAAGCATCCCGGATGAGAAATATACCAGTTTGATTTATAAATAATGAATCTTATCTCTTTTAGGATAGTTAAAAAAAGAAATCGATTTATCTTACGAATTATATATGTAAATTTGACGAAATAGAAGTAGCATGGCATGGAATAAGATAATCCATAAAGTAATTGACAAAATCGATAGTTATCGATAGAAACGAATAATCATTTTCTATCTAGCGTCATTTTAAATTGTTTATCTCTCTCTCTCTCTCTCTCTTTCTCTTCATATATATATATATATATATATATATATATATATATCTCGTTCTTTCTGGTAATACGGGTAAACAAACTCGGTGTGGAATGATAAATGCGATATAATTATAGATCGAACGTCGAAACAATCTTCTAAAACATAGCTATGACCGAGGGCGAACGAGATAAATGAATCTGGAACAGTGAGTGCTCCGTTCCTCTCGCGCTAATTACCAGTTGAGTGAGTAATAAGCGATTAACAGTGGCACGCCTACCGAATGTAAATGAGTCTCGTTTGGGAAAACGATCATCGCGGAAGTTGGAAAGAAAAAGAACGGACGAGTTGAAACCTATCTTTTTTTAATTTTTTTTACTCTCTTGTCCCTCTTTTTTTTTTCTTAAATACCATCGAGAAGATAAAAAAGATAGATTTATTGTACCTAATTTATTTATTATTATTATTATTATTATTATTATTATTAAAGTTCGATGGTTGGAATGCAAACGTTTGATCAACGATCAACTTGAGGTATTTGGAATAATCTGCTTCTTTTTTTTTTTTTTTTAAATGTCACACATGATTCTCGATATCTCGTCTAGATCTTTTCAAATTCCATCGTGGGTGTAAAGGATCGATCCGGTTCCCCTTTTCCTCCCCCTCTCTTAACCCCCGTTTTTTGTTTTTGAATAATTATGCGCCGAGAGAAAAGGTCGGTCCCAAAATACATCGCGTGCCTCTTACTAGTCTCTTCTTTTCCTTTTTTTATTTTTAATTCTCTCTCTCTCTCCCTCTCTCTCTCTCTCTCTCTCTCTCTCTCTCTCTCTCTNCTCTCTCTCTCTCTCTCTCTCTCTCTCTCTCTCTCTCTCACTTTACACATATATTCAACATCCTCGAAGAAGAACCATCGAATTCCGAACGAAACGATTTCACCGACTTGTTACACGAGTTTTGTTTATGTTAATGTTCGAAAATGTGACGTATTATAGACAGGATATCTACTCGAAATAATGATTATACGATATTAAGATGAAAACTTACTATTATCCCCCACTCTCTCTCTCTCTCTCTCTCTCTCTTGTTTTCTATTTCTCTCTCTCCCTTTTTCTCTTTGCCTTCCCTTTTCTTTTGTCTGTGAAATTAAAATACGATAAAAATCACATCGTTTCGTTGCAAAATCTTTTTTTTTCGAAAGAATAATACATACATCCTTTCGATTTAAAAGCCACGCATGCATATACGCAAAGAACCTCTCACCCCACCCCCCTTCTACTTCTCCTACTCCTCCTCCGTTATATGCACACGAACGCTTAATTACGGTGTAGAACTTCCATGTGCCATAATTATTCATTTTGGAAGCGGCGATTATAAAGCGATTACGTGGAAGAATCGTTCCTTATCTTCGGCGTAGAAAGAGAAGAGAACTTCCGAAATGGATAGGAGGGAGAGGGAGGGGAGGGAATGGGGGGCGCCCGCATACATACACGATCATTTTCGCTTTGGCAATTTGTCGGACACGTTGCATAGGTTATAAAGCGGTAATCAAGGATGATCATTGCATTAATATCATGAGTTTAAAAGCACCGTCGTTTTCATCATCGTGAAATTGCTCCACAAGGAAGCAATGGGTGTGGAGAAGGGGGGAAGCTGGGGGTAGGAGGCCCATGGGGAAGAAGAAGAACTGCTGGAAGCTGATAGAGGAATGAGAGGAGGAAGGGGGGAGGGGCCAAAGAGAAAGATCGTAATCGTCGTTCGCGTCGAGAGCAAGATGTTTTACGTCGAGAAAAGACGATTTATCGATGTTAAGGATGAATATACCGTTCGAACGAAGTAACCACGTTGAAGAGGAGAAGGTCCAATTACTTAAAGTCGAGATACTTCTTATTTTCTCTTGAATATACCGTAAAATCGTGTCTGTGTTCCATTGTTTCAACGTTATATTACAAATTCCGTTGTAAAATACATTTTACTTTCTCATAGATATTCCGAAATAAATCGTTAGAATTTATATCTCGTAATACGAATTTTTCTAAAGATTTATTTATCATGGTATCCATCTTATTGGCACGAATTTCTCTAAACTTTACTATAACGTTCGTTATTCTATTATAAATGATGAAATTAAAATAAACGAATTTATATATTTACATGCATGCATGCATGCATGTATGTATGTATGTATGTATGAATGTGTGTATGAGTGTGTGTAATCAATAAAGATTTTATTCTTATCTCGTCTATTTTTTTGTTGTTGTTTTTTTTTTCTTAGGATAAATAAAACGACAATTTATATCGTTATCGTGAATTGCTTTGATATAATTTATTTCGCTATATCGTTTGGAAGCTCGAACTGAATCTTCTGGACGATCGTACAATTCTATGTCTTCGTACGACAAATAAAATCACAATTTCTTATTTACAAGATTATTTACACTTAGTATGTGGTACGTATTTTGCAACGCGACCGTCGGCGGTAATTAAATAAGAAAAATACGAATTATTACTTTTCTTTGGTTTTTTTTTTATTTTCCTTTTCGTTCCCTTCTCTTCGATTCATTATAAATAAACTCTTATATTAATTATTCCTTTACGTTTCTAATTCATTTTTGTTAATTTTTTGTTGCATTTAAAAGAAATGATTTCATATAAGTAATTAAATAATTATTTAAATTCGAATTTTCGTTGTCATTCAAATAATTTTTATCATTTCTTTTGTTTCTATGTTTTATTATAAATTTAATTAATATTAAATACTCTCAATAATATAAAAGTTTACTTTGAACATAAATATTATAAGAATACTTTGATTCTCGTTATAAGATTCTCTTTCTTCTTCTTCTTCTTCTTCTTCTTTTTTATTAATTTGAATGAGATAATTAAAAATAAAATTGAAGCCGAGGGTCGTGATGCAAAATATCGTTATTATAAGTATCGTCCATAATAATTTAAGTCGCCGGTATATTTCGATACATCGATTGACGAAAGGAATACTGCACGTTCGTAGAACAACGATCAAAGATACTACTTTTGTAATACGTCTTCCGTGTATTTCTTAGTTTTTTTTTTCTTTTTAGTTTCTAGTTTACACTGCCTCTCTCTCTCACTCTCATTCTCACTCTCTCTTTCACTCTTTCTCTCTCTCTCTCTCTCTTTCTTCTTAAGTACTATGACGTTTGGCACTAGCTTTATCGTCCTTGTATTTCTCTATATATACATATACATATGTATATATATGTATATACATATAATTTGAATCGATCGGACGAGTTCGATTATTATCGAAGAATCGTCTTTTACACCTTTCTTATTTACACTCACTTTCGACGTTTTAATCTCGTCTCGTCTCGTCACTATGGCGAATGAATTATGGCAAGACGACAGTGGAGGGTGGGTGGGGGTGCTGCAGGGACTCTGCATCCGATGATCACGAAGGGATTATTAATTTTATCATTTTGATATTTAATTAAACTATTACGTAGAGAAATATAGTCCGTATATTAGAAAATTTTGTCAATTTTACGTTAAACTCGTTCTACTTGAAATGTGAACAAAAAATTTAACAAAGGTTTGAACGAGAATGAGAAAAATCAATGTCGATTATTCCTCAACAGCCCTTTTCAGAAAAAAATTTCTCTTTAAAGGGACAGAAGTTGATGTTCGTCGATATCTCGTGATTCTTCTTCCGTTTCGTTCGTCTAGTCTGTTTCTTCCGGCGGAAGTATCTCCATTTAACCTTGCCGACCATCGCTAAACAATACCTCCATTAGTTGACTTCCGACCCGTCTCTATTTTCCACCCTCTTCTTCTTTTCTTTCTTATACTTTCTTGTATTTTTTCAACTCACGAAAAAACGTGAAGTTTAGTATAATATTATTCGTCTGTCTCTTCGTACTCCTTTTACGTAATAAAACGATCGTAAACGTCCGATTACGATCTTCTTCATATTATTATTATTATTATGATTATTATTAATTTACTCTCATTATTTTCGATAAAAATCCAAATTAATCGATTTAAACGATTCGTCAAGGATATCCGTGAAAATTTGTTATTTTTCAGATCGTTCATCATCGTCATTTTTTCGTTGAACCAACGAACAAACGTATTCTCCTTCATGAAGAATTCGTTTTTAAGGAAAAAAAGAAATATTTTCTTCGAGAATTCCGTTCAAAAAATGAACATATCACTCTCTCTCTATCTGTTATTTTTTTTTTTCCAACGATACAAAATGCCATCCTGGAAACTTTTAATCCAGGCATAAAACGTCTAGCTACGCTTCAGAATCGCTTGAACATTCTTCAGCTTCCGGATCGATTTGTTCTTCTTCCTCTTCATCCTCGTGATGATAATCACCAGTCTCTTGTTGCCACTTGCTAACGTGATGAGTGTTCTTATTATTACTGTTGTTATTCGCGTTACCACCATTACCACCCCCGCCACCGCCCCCTCCCCCACCACCGCCAGATTGTTGTTGAGCTTTTGCTTCCTCTTCTTGTTGCATTCTCTTATGCTTCGTTCGCCGATTTTGAAACCACACCTTAACCTGAAACAATAACGAAACAATTTTTATTTTCTTTAATATTTATTTTATTATAATTCGCTTATCCGAATGATTGAATTTATATGCTAATGTTTTTATTTCAACAAAAAAATATTATATTTTAATCGAAGTATATTGTCCTACGAAATTTTCGTATGACACACGAGTTCCGTGGGAAAATAATTCAATTTCAAAAAAAATATCAATAAAAAGTAAATATTGAAAGGTCACAGGAAACACTGCACGATACTACGTTCATAATTTTAAAGATTATATTTATAATAATGAACAGAAAGTGTGGGATTATTATCATGATTTAATATGTTCAAAGAGAAGAAAAAAAATATTAATTAAGTGTCAAACGATAACATTTTAATTACATCAGACATTAAAGAAAATACGTATGATATAAAATCGTTGCAAAATTATTTTTCCCATAGGTCGCACCTTTTATCGAGAGAATAATATTCTTTCTCTTCAGCGATGATTTAATAATCAATTCTAAAAGATATATATAAATACCGCAACATTTGATCGAACCAGTGATAAAACAACCAATACGAATAATAGTATACCCTAATTTTCATGAATTCACTCGTACGCAATTTCGTGTATAAATCTTCTATACATATATATATAAATCCCTTTACAATCGTGCTACCCTATCATTCGACCGTCGTTAAGCCGACGGACAGTCAACGATACAGACGATCAAGCTCATTGGACCAATCCGCTTGAAAAAAGGGGACACGAAACGTTCCACCCTCGGGATCGTAACCCCGTGGTTTGGCAAATTAAGTGGCAACTAGTTATGGAGCCAACCCCTATACCTCTTAGTAGTAGGGACGAGTCGATGTATCAAACAGCCACCCCTAAACGCAGTTATCCGGTTACAATAGCTCGTGTGCTGACACGGAACCCCTTCGATCGTCAAATAAGAGAGAGAGAGAGATAGAGTAAAAAAAAGGAAAGAAAGAAAGAAAAAGAAGGGGTAACACACGTACACATGCTCCCTTTTATGAAACGAGAAACGGCATAGGACACTATTGTCCTTGAATTGACTGCACGATCGTCATATTTCATACCGAAAGAAAGGGCTGCAGATAGAAGTGCCATTTTGAAGTTATCAAGCTGGAAAATCGACATTGTACTCGAGTTCCAAGAGAAGAAAAAGAATGATAAAAGAGAGAAAGAGGGAGAGGAACAGAATAAATGGTCGACCGAATCTCGTCTCACGTCCAACGTATAACATAGTTTTGACGAGACCCAGATTAAACCGAGCATTTCGAATCAAAATCAGAATTGTATACGTATAAACCGAAATTTCTCTCTTTCTCAAAGGATTTTTCTAAACTGTTTACAAAATATTTTCTATCTCGTTTATATTGTCACAAAAAGAATAAAAAGAAAAACACATATACAATTCTACTGCCTATCGTCAATAGCGAACAAACAAATATTATCTAAAATATTAAAATGCAATAAAATAATATTAAATCAGTCAATTAATGTTCTCGATTGTTGCAAATGTTTTTAAACAACAAATTCGTAAAAATCCGTCAGATAAGAGTAACGTTGATATCGGACGATTCAGCAATGTCCGAAAGCAGCACTCAACGAATCACAAGTTTTATGCCCGAAGGGAGGCTCTTTGGGGTCGTGGCACTTAACGGGTGATTAAGAGGGCAAATAGAGAGCAACCCCTTCTAGCAAGCACGATGAAGTTTCTCTTCTCTTTCTCTCTCTTTCTCTCAAGCTTCCTCTTTCCTTCACGAAGCCATTCCCTTTGGGAGCATCGTTCCAAAGCTTAATCGAGTTACCCCTATCGCACCCCTATTCCTTCCCACTTTCTATCTCTTCCTCTCTCTCTCTCTCTCTCTCTTTATCTCACTTGCACATTCTCCCGTTGAGTTACCACGGCAACGAGCGTGGACCTGCGATCCGATTGGTTGATCTTTCACGCACGCGAATACTACGAGCATTCCCTTCCACAAAGTTCCGGACCATCTCTCCTAGAATGTAGACAACTCTCTACTCCTCTTCATCCCTTCCCAATGTCCTTTCTTTCCCCTAACTTCCTAAAGTACTAACCCTACCCCACCCCATTGGATTTCGGATTTACGCTTAGTTTCAACCCTCCCTTTCTCCCACCACCAACACACTTTGCTCATCCCTTTCCTGATCCTCTATTTATACCCTACTTCTTTCCATCGACTTCCTCAGATTCCATCAATTTTAACATTGTTCAAACTACTCTAATATCATCTATCAGGAATATCAAATGACTCGGGTGAAAAAGTAATCTTTTAAATTCGCACGCGAATTTTTGTTTAAAGATTTTCTTTCGTGTACGTACAACGTTTTTTAAATTTGACGTTACTTCATATAATTAATTTTATGTTATTTTTATTTTTCAAAAATATATATTGGATTGTTCGGAAAGTAATTTCCTTTTTTCCTGACACAATAAAGACATTAGTTGATGCAAACCGGCAAATAACAACACGTGAGATCGGTGAGAGATTTAATTTATTTTAACTGTTTGTGCCCACATGAAAGGCCTCGAAACGAAAATTGTCTCAATTTTCACAAAATAAAAACGAAATTACTTTCCGAACAACCTAATAATAAATGCCCTTAAAAATTGGAGTAATCTTGATTGGATTAATCTCATAGGAAATAAGGAACACTCGTTGCACTGATTAAAAATCGAGATAGAATAAAAACATGGGGATATTAATGAAAATAAAAATGAAATTTCTCTTTCTGCTGCGCACCCATGCGCAACTAAGTAAAATGTACAACAAAGTTGTAATTTAAGAATAAATAGAAGTTAAGGTAGTAAAAAAAAAGAATATGAAGAATAATAAGATAAAGAAAAGGAAGGGACTATTAGAAAAAGAAGAAGAAGAAGAAGAGTTTGTCCTACGTTTGTTTGTATGTGTATTCTATGTGTATATGCCTACTAGTATATATATATATATGTTTTTAGAAAGGCGCATACGACTGTCACTGGCGATGTGACTCGCATATAAGGTGTTCACCTGTCACTTAAGCGCGTTCCAGAAACAGCCTCAATTACGTGGCTCCGCGCAAACTCACCAAGGAAGGCAGGTAAGCTCAGTTGGTGCTTAAGCCAGGCTGTTACCCTGTTCAACTAAAAGTCCGAAGTAACGCCGGTTAACTCGCAAAGTCTCTCTCTTTCTCTCTCTCTCTCTCTTTCTCTCTCTCTCTTTCTCTCTTTTTTCTTTTTATTTTTCTTTCGTACTATGTAACGTACCTACGTACTCGTTATCTCGTCCAAACGATCGACAGACACACAGTGAGCGTGAGCGCTTCCAACTCGCAATCTTGCGAGCCCATTTAGATAGCCGACATCTTTTCAGGATCCTCAACCAACCACATCACATGTGCAGGACCAAGATTTTTCTTTTTATTTTTCATCTTATTTTGATTTTGTTTTCTTTTTTTGTGTTTCATTTCTCTCATGTTAGTTTTTTTTTTCCTGTATTTTCTTCAAACCGACTTTAATTTCGATCTTGGTAGATCTTACGGAGATGGTATTGCCTGTAATTGGTTCCGTATCGATGAATGATACCTTCTTTAAGATGCCATGCCGCTTCTCGAGACGATCTCTTCACCGATCTCTCTCTCTTTCCATCTCTTGGAAAATTGTAAGCCGAGTTATACGTACGAAAGAAAGATGAATCTTCCTGAATTCCTTACCCATCGATCCTCCATGAAAGTTACGATTTCAACTTTCGATAATGTATACTATCCTATCGATCATTGTCCTTTTATGTAAATCTTTTTAGGTATTAATTATCGTGGAAGGATAAAAGTTTGTTTTGTGTTTAGATTTAAAACATTTCAAATTCTATCCTCGTATATTATATTCGATAAAGTGACATAAAAAATATATTTTAAAAAGCTAAGAAACTGACGTAATGTATAATGATGCATAAATAATTAAAATATATATATATATACATTTTTACAACTAACAAAAATAAATAAAATCTAATTGTATGTCAAACTCAGCACAACATTTTTACAAAATTATTAAATAAATTAAAAAAGAAAAATTACGGGAAGAAAATTTGATAATCGTAATTACGTTTATCATAATTTCTGGGTTATCCTTAATCGTCTCGAGCCGGATATCGTTAACATAGTTTATCTCTGTCATATATTTTTTTCTTTTTTCCACATTGAAACGCCACGCGTTAGGGAGAATAATGAAAGCGTGCACGAGCTTCTGGATATCACTTTGGTATGCATGGATAATGAAGAGCTCAATTAATCCGGATTATTAATTGATATTCTAATTATGCGACACGACGAGCACGTCCGCTGATCAGAAACGCTTCGCGAACATTTTCAAGGTTAACACAAATGGATAATGATAGACGGACGGAATTCGCATTGCATTTCTATCTTCTTTTTTTCTTCTTCTTCTTCTTCTTTCTATCTCATTTTTATTATCATTATTCTTTTGTTCGTGAAATTATTTCTTATTATTAATATATATATGTAACATACATAATATTTGTGTTATTTAAAATATTTTAACATTAATTAAATTTTTTATTCGTGCAATATCATTCGCATTACTTTTTGTACAAAATTTACTATTATCATGTTACTTTCGTCTTATTGAAAATTATTGTTCTTTATCTTTCAAATTATACATTATTAATATTAAAAATATTTTTAATATTACTACCAAGAATTTACACAGACATACCTATTATATTAATACCGTAACCGTATTTCAAATTATCATATTTTTAAAAATTAAATATTAATATCAAATTTATTAATTTTATAATAATACTATATTTAATATTATTAATTATAAATAATATTAATTTAATTATATTAATTATTATTTATTTATTAATTATTTATATATTTTATTATTTTATTATTTTATTTTTATAATTATTATTATATTATTATTATATAATTATTTATTTATATTATTATTTATTTATTATATT